AAAAAAGCCTAGCGAGATCTCTGCTGTCAAAATGGAGGAGACCATGAACACAGGGATATATTTGTGCTGGCTTAAGAGGTTAGGGTTAAATTAGGGCTGGGTTTAGGTTAGAGCTGGAGTTAAGGGCTAGGGCTAGGTTAGAGTTATGGCTGGGTTAGGACTGGGTTTTAGGGCTAGGGTTGGGTTAGGGCTAGCTTAGAGTTATGGCTGGGTTAGGACTGGGTTTTAAGGCTAGGGGTGGGTGAGGGCTAGGTTAGAGTTAAGGCTGGGTTCGGACTGGGTTTTAGGGCTAGGCTTGGGTTAGGGCTAGGTTAGAGTTATGGCTGAGTTAGGACTGGGTTTTAGGGCTAGGCTTGGGTTAGGGCTAGGTTAGAGTTATGGCTGGGTTAGGGCTGGGTTTTAGGGCTAGGGCTGGGTTAGGGCTAGGTTAGAGTTATGGCTGGGTTAGGACTGGGTTTTAGGGCTAGGCTTGGGTTAGGGCTAGGTTAGAGTTATGGCTGAGTTAGGACTGGGTTTTAGGGCTAGGGCTGGGTTAGGGCTAGGTTAGGGTTATGGCTGGGTTAGGACTGGGTTTTAGGGCTAGGGCTGGGTTAGGGCTAGGTTAGAGTTATGGCTGGGTTAGGACTGGGTTTTAGGGCTAGGGCTGGGTTAGGGCTAGGTTAGAGTTAAGGCTGGGTTAGGACTGGGTTTTAGGGCTAGGGCTGGGTTAGGGCTAGGTTAGAGTTATGGCTGGGTTAGGGCTGGGTTTTAGGGCTAGGGCTGGGTTAGGGCTAGGTTAGAGTTATGGCTGAGTTAGGACTGGGTTTTAGGGCTAGGGCTGGGTTAGGGCTAGGTTAGAGTTAAGGCTGGGTCAGGGCTGGGTTTTAGGGCTAGGGCTGGGTTAGGGCTAGGTTAGAGTTATGGCTGAGTTAGGACTGGGTTTTAGGGCTAGGGCTGGGTTAGGGCTAGGTTAGAGTTATGGCTGAGTTAGGACTGGGTTTTAGGGCTAGGGCTGGGTTAGGGCTAGGTTAGAGTTATGGCTGAGTTAGGACTTGGTTTTAGGGCTAGGCTTGGGTTAGGGCTAGGTTAGAGTTATGGCTGGGTTAGGACTTGGTTTTAGGGCTAGGCTTGGGTTAGGGCTAGGTTAGAGTTATGGCTGAGTTAGGGCTGGGTTTTAGGGCTAGGGCTGGGTTAGGGCTAGGTTAGAGTTATGGCTGGGTTAGGGCTGGGTTTTAGGGCTAGGCTTGGGTTAGGGTGAAGCTGAAGTACGTAATACTGCTGTGCTGGGTGTTTCACACACATCAAGCAGGGCTGCAATCCAAGTGCAATCCACCAGACCAGCCGGTAAGGTGCCAAGAGGGATGGTGTGAGCCATCACCATTCAAAGTGTGTGCGCTCACAAGCTTTGACAATGTTAAAATTTTTTTATTAAATCCTTCAGAGAGAAAACAAGAAGCTTTCTCATGCAATGTGAAAGTGTGCGAGAATGCAGACAGATTCTTAAGAAAGGGCATGCATGCGTAGATCTCCGTCGAGAGTGGCCATCTGACAAAAAACCTCGTGAACTGTAAATCCAAATTTATATACAAACACACTTCCGCATTCATAAATAACCCTTGGCAAAAAAGCATTGGCCAGGCTAATGATAACAATAATAATAACGATAGAAATACAATCGATCCGGAAATGAGCAAAGGGCGAAGTTATTTAGCATGATTTAAAGCTACGGGAACAAGTCCTCAATTTCACAAGCACTGGAAAGTCAAGATAGAAAAAAAACATCAAAATAGGTCGTGCATGGGATTTTTTTTAAAAACCTACAAAAATAAACAACAACAACAACAAACCAAACGTCCAAGCCAGGTTACAACACAAAGTTCCACGTCGCAACTAATTTACTGGCGGCCGCCAACGTCTAAAATGTCAATCGAGACAAAGAAACGGAAACAAATGTGGATGAACACCGCATGCCATGCTCACGTCCGTAACACGCTTGGGAGTTCCGTATTAAATCGTGGGTGCAAAACGTCCCCAACTTTTAGGGCCTCAAGGAAAAGAAAAAAGAATACCCCCTTTTTCATGACCCCTGTAAACGAACCACGACTGCTGCCCCCTCACCGCCCCGCTGCGTGACCCCCGTGTGACCTCCGTGTGACCCCCGTGTGACCCTGTGTGACCCCGTGTGAGGAGCTCTGTGATTGGATGACTTGCTAGGTGCTCGGTGTCCCCACAGTTTCGGACTGACGACTCAATAACTCGGCACCCTCCTCCCCAACCCCTCCCCCATCCCCGCATCTCCCTCCCTAACCCCCCGGTTGACTTCTTCCAGGCTCAGTGGTGTCTCCCTCATCCCGTGTCTCCCTCATCCCCCGTGTCTCCCTCATCCCCCGTGTCTCCCTCATCCCCCGTGTCTCCCTCATCCCCCGTGTCTCCCTCATCCCCCGTGTCTCCCTCATCCCCCTGTCTCCCTCATCCCCCGTGTCTCCCTCATCCCCCGTGTCTCCCTCATCCCGTGTCTCCCTCATCCCCCCCCGTGTCTCCCTCATCCCCCGTGTCTCCCTCATCCCGTGTCTCCCTCATCCCGTGTCTCCCTCATCCCCCGTGTCTCCCTCATCCCCCTGTCTCCCTCATCCCTCGTGTCTCCCTCATCCCCCCCCCCGTGTCTCCCTCATCCCCCGTGTCTGCCCTCATCCCGTGTCTCCCTCATCCCCCCCCCCCCGTGTCTCCCTCATCCCCCGTGTCTCCCTCATCCCGTGTCTCCCTCATCCCCCCCCCGTGTCTCCCTCATCCCCCGTGTCTCCCTCATCCCGTGTCTCCCTCATCCCCCGTGTCTCTCACCCCCCGTGTCTCCCTCATCCCGTGTCTCCCTCATCCCCCTGTCTCCCTCATCCCGTGTCTCCCTCATCCCCCGTGTCTCCCTCATCCCGTGTCTCCCTCATCCCCCGTGTCTCCCTCATCCCGTGTCTCCCTCATCCCCCGTGTCTCCCTCATCCCGTGTCTCCCTCATCCCCCGTGTCTCCCTCATCCCCCGTGTCTCCCTCATCCCCCGTGTCTCCCTCATCCCCCATGTCTCCCTCATCCCGCGTCTCCCTCATCCCCCGTGTCTCCCTCATCCCCCGTGTCTCCCTCATCCCCCATGTCTCCCTCATCCCCCGTGTCTCCCTCATCCCGTGTCTCCCTCATCTCCCTCATCCCCCGTGTCTCCCTCATCCCGTGTCTCCCTCATCCCGTGTCTCCCTCATCCCCCGTGTCTCCCTCATCCCCCGTGTCTCCCTCATCCCCCGTGTCTCCCTCATCCCCCGTGTCTCCCTCATCCCCCGTGTCTCCCTCATCCCCCGTGTCTCCCTCATCCCCCGTGTCTCCCTCATCCCGTGTATCCCTCATCCCCCGTGTCTCCCTCATCCCCCCCATCTCCCTCATCCCCCGTGTCTCCCTCATCCCCCGTGTCTCCCTCATCCCCCGTGTCTCCCTCATCCCCCTGTCTCCCTCATCCCCCGTGTCTCCCTCATCCCCCGTGTCTCCCTCATCCCGTGTCTCCCTCACCCCCCCCCGTGTCTCCCTCATCCCCCGTGTCTCCCTCATCCCGTGTCTCCCTCATCCCGTGTCTCCCTCATCCCCCGTGTCTCCCTCATCCCCCTGTTCTCCCTCATCCCTCGTGTCTCCCTCATCCCCCCCCCCGTGTCTCCCTCATCCCCCGTGTCTCCCTCATCCCGTGTCTCCCTCATCCCCCCCCCGTGTCTCCCTCATCCCCCGTGTCTCCCTCATCCCGTGTCTCCCTCATCCCCCCCCCGTGTCTCCCTCATCCCCCGTGTCTCCCTCATCCCGTGTCTCCCTCATCCCCCGTGTCTCTCACCCCCCGTGTCTCCCTCATCCCGTGTCTCCCTCATCCCCCTGTCTCCCTCATCCCGTGTCTCCCTCATCCCCCGTGTCTCCCTCATCCCCCGTGTCTCCCTCATCCCGTGTCTCCCTCATCCCCCGTGTCTCCCTCATCCCGTGTCTCCCTCATCCCCCGTGTCTCCCTCATCCCGTGTCTCCCTCATCCCCCGTGTCTCCCTCATCCCCCGTGTCTCCCTCATCCCCCGTGTCTCCCTCATCCCCCTTGTCTCCCTCCTCCCGTGTCTCCCTCATCCCCCGTGTCTCCCTCATCCCCCGTGTCTCCCTCATCCCCCATGTCTCCCTCATTCCCCGTGTCTCCCTCATCCCGTGTCTCCCTCATCTCCCTCATCCCCCGTGTCTCCCTCATCCCGTGTCTCCCTCATCCCGTGTCTCCCTCATCCCCCGTGTCTCCCTCATCCCCCGTGTCTCCCTCATCCCCCGTGTCTCCCTCATCCCCCGTGTCTCCCTCATCCCCCGTGTCTCCCTCATCCCCCGTGTCTCCCTCATCCCCCGTGTCTCCCTCATCCCGTGTCTCCCTCATCCCCCGTGTCTCCCTCATCCCCCCCATCTCCCTCATCCCCCGTGTCTCCCTCATCCCCCGTGTCTCCCTCATCCCGTGTCTCCCTCATCCCCCGTGTCTCTCACCCCCCGTGTCTCCCTCATCCCGTGTCTCCCTCATCCCCCTGTCTCCCTCATCCCGTGTCTCCCTCATTCCCCCGTCTCTCTCATCCCGTGCCTCCCTCATCCCGTGTCTCCCTCATCCCCCGTGTCTCTCACCCCCCGTGTCTCCCTCATCCCCCGTGTCTCCCTCATCCCCCGTGTCTCCCTCATCCCCCGTGTCTCCCTCATCCCCCGTGTCTCCCTCATCCCCCGTGTCTCCCTCATCTCGTCTCTCCCTCATCCCGTGTCTCCCTCATCCCCCCGTCTCCCTCATCCCGTGTCCCCCTCATCCCCCGTGTCTCCCTCATCCCGTGTCTCCCTCATCCCCCGTGTCTCCCTCATCCCCCGTGTCTCCCTCATCCCCCCGTCTCTCTCATCGCGTGTCTCCCTCATCCCCCGTGTCTCCCTCATCTCGTCTCTCCCTCATCCCGTGTCTCCCTCATCCCCCGTGTCTCCCTCATCCCGTGTCTCCCTCATCCCCCGTGTCTCCCTCATCCCCCGTGTCTCCCTCATCCCCCGTGTCGTCTCTCACTTGGTCTCGACGGCTGCCATGTGCGTGCGAAGAAGGAGGAGGAGGCGTGACGGTCAGCACTGCCGCATCCCCGCAGCGAGGGGGCGAGGGTCGTCAGGATTTGACCTCCGACCCTTTGTCTCCCACCACGACGGGGCCCGATCGATGCGTTTGGCGAGTCCACAATCTCGCCACAGCCCCCCGTCCCCCCCCCCCCCCCCCCGCAGCTGCCACTAGAATTGCGTGGCGCTGGAGGGATCGCACTGCAGCAGGCGCACGATGGAGGGGTCGCTCTTGGCTCCTCGGATGAACTCGTCGAGAGAGAGTTTGCCTGCGGAGCGGCACAGGGGGTTGGTGACACGGGAGACTCGCACAAGAGGGCCCACGCGCACAGCACTGTGTGGGGGCGAGTGCTGCTAGCGAGCGCACGTGTTGAGGCCGGCACGGGTTTCGTGGGGCCAGCATCACGTCGGCCCACCAATGTCTCCCCCCCTTTGGGCAATGTTTATCGGCTGCCCACCAGGTACGGTAACTCATTCAGGGCCGAATTGACTTCGGGGAGGCCCACGACCGGTTTGGATCTCAATCGCCACCGGTGTTCACCATGCCCGGCAAGTGACCTCGTGCTTCTGGACTCACACGGGCACGAACATGAAGATGCCCGGCGTCGGCACGGAGACTGTGGGGGACAGCGTCATTCAGACGCTGTCTTGCCGACAGACCTGTTCTTCACCTGAGGACGGCTGCTTGCGTTGTGGCCGAAACGTCGTGAGAATTATTTTATTATGTTTTATTTTTATTTTTTTATTATTTCCCTTCTACGTGACTTTACCGAAAGAACCAAGAAGATGAATCCCTGCAGTCACAAAAGCTTTAAATCGAAATCATTTTATTATGTTTTATTTTTATTATTTTATTATTTTCCTTCTACGTGACTTTACCGAAAGAACCAAGAAGATGAATCCTTGCAGTCACGAAAACTTTAAATCGAAATTTTATGATATTTTATTTTTATTATTTTATTACTTCCCTTCTACCTGACTTTACCGAAAGAACCAAGAAGATAAATCCCTGCAGTCACGAAAGCTTTAAATCGAAACTGTGGGGGTGGATAAATGCCGTTTGTGAGCACTGTACCTGTGAAGGCTGGCGTGGCACATGACACCCGGTCGACGTCGGTGAAAAATATGTGAACTGGTCTTGGGCATCCCGTCGTAGGTTGACTCGGCCCGAATTTTGTATCGAGTGCGGTGTGTAAACATCGGCAGTGGGGAGACAAAGGCGGGCGGCCGTGGTGCTAAAATCACACCACCGCCTCATGCGCGCGCTGTGTTGGCCTTCATAGGCGCTCGCAAACAGTTGCCCTCTCCATCCAGTCTGTCCATGAATCTCTGCGCCAGTGAGTGCGCGCCCGTGTATTTACAGTGCGCGTGTTTTACGCACGCGCGTGTTTGTGCACGCGTGTTTGTGCACGCGTGCGTTGAGTGCGTGCGTGCGATGTCTACCGTCCTGGTTGGTGTCCATCTGGCGGAAGATCTTATCGGTTCTCTTTTCCGGAGTCGCCTCGTCTTCTGGCATCTTCATCACGGACGAAACCATCTTGTAGATCGCCTGTTTGTTAAACAAAGACAAAGAACCCCCGTATAGCCTTCGACACACTGTTGGGGAAAGTGCTGTTAACGAGCACCTGTGAAGGCCGTCATGGAACGCGAGGGGGTGGGTGGCCAGCACCACGCCCGGCCCCCTTTGTCTCTCCAGTGCTCATGTTTACACACTGCACCAGATACCAGTTTAAGGCTGAGTCAACCCAAGAGAGGCCCAGATCTGGTTCAGATAAATCGTCACTGGCGTTGGTTCCCGTGAGCTGGAATCAAAACGTGGGTAACCGAGTTGGTAACGCAGCAAGCTAACCACTACGCTACCGCTCCCCACAACACACACACACAACGGCTACACACATGCACGCTAACACGCGCTAACACGCACACTAACACGGCGGCAACGAGCACATGCATGTGCTCCATCGTATGCATCGTTCGAGACGCTCACACAGACACAAACACGCACACTCACATTTATCTCGTGCGACCCAAACAGGGGGTCAGATTTTTAGATTTTTCCATCCTTTTTTTGGATCTTGGCTCCCGCCAAGACGACACACTCCCATATGCTCACATACACACACGCACGCACGTGTATATATACACACACAGACAAAGATCCCCCGTATAGCCTTTAGATACTGTTGTGGCAAGTGCCGTTAGGGAGCACCTATTAAGGTCGGTACAGCGCACGAGTGGATATTTTGGGCAACGCCACACCCGGCCGCCTTTGTCTCCCCAGTGCTGATGTTTACACATTTATGGCTGAGTCGACCTAGGGGAGGCCAAGGACCGTTTCAGATATGCGGATATATACACACATACCTATATGCACACACACGCACACTTAACACATACACACAGATACACCCACACATATACACGCTCACACAAACACACACACACCCATATACACTTTCACCCACTAAACTTCTTTCAGGAGCTATTACACACTGACATATAAACACAATTTTTTATCGTTTCATTTTGTGGATCACATCTTTCCTTTTGCTATTTAAATTCATAGGAATATTCTGGGATTTTATTTCATCCGGGAAAACCTCACCTGAATCTCAAGACCCCCGAACCAGGAGTGTCCTGTATTGAGACGTACAGCCAATTCCTTTCTAAGGAGCGTTTCGCTTTTGTGTGGAAGCAAACCAAAGCACCCAGAGGAGAAAGAAAGAAAGAAATAAAACAACAATCATCCCATCACGCATTCGAGTGGATTCACAATACTCCACAAAGATGGGTTCACAAAGACCCCCCCGCCCCCCCCCCCCCCCCCCCCACTTGGTGCATTCCCATCTCACGGACACTTCACAGCCTGGGTTGGTTGTTGGTCCATTTTCGCAAATCTCTCTGCGTGGTCCACCAACGCTCGCCTCCACAGCGCCGGATCACAGGGCGTGCGTCATCACCGCCGTGCCTTCATCCATCACGAGCTGTCACGCTTAGTGACTCGCGAGGGGGCAGGGGACATGACCGCTGGTCACGTGACGCGAGATTTTTTGGGGGGGGAATTCTCCCATGATCCCTTGCTTGCCCCCCCCCCCCGAGCACGATTCCCAGCGGGGGGGGCTAGGGGGCTGTGGCTTGCTATAGCGGAGTGTAAGGAACTACGCAAAGTTTATTGTTTCATCGGCCAAGTACGAAGAAAAAATGTTCACGCTGTGACTTGTAAACACGTGGACACAGTACTGACATTACACAGTGCTTGGACGGTGATATTGCCTGTATCAACTTATAGGCTGACAGGGCAAGTGTTGTTAGTGAGCGCATATTAATGCTGCATTGGCACAATGGTGGAAAACGCCACGCACGTTTTAATGCGAATTTTGCTCTTTAGAAAGACCGGTCTCTGATGAGGCCTCTAAACAATAGATTTACAGATCTGTCTCTGATGGGGTCTCTCGACAATAGACTGTCAGACCGGTCTCTGATGGGGTCTCTAGACAATAGACTGTCAGACCGGTCTCTGATGGGGTCTCTAGACAATAGACTGACAGATCTGTCTCTGATGGGGCCTCTAGACAATAGACTGACAGGCTGGTCTCTGATGGTGCCTCTAGACAATAGACTGACAGGCTGGTCTGTGATGGGGCCTCTAGACAATAGACTGACAGACCAGTCACTGATGGGGCCTCTAGACAATAGACTGTCAGACCGGTCTCTGATGGGGCCTCTAAACAATAGATTTACAGATCTGTCTCTGATGGGGTCTCTAGACAATAGACTGACAGACCAGTCTCTGATGGGGTCTCTAGACAATAGACTGACAGATCTGTCTCTGATGGTGCCTCTAAACAATAGATGTACAGATCTGTCTCTGATGGTGCCTCTAGACAATAGACTGACAGGCTGGTCTCTGATGGTGCCTCTAGACAATAGACTGACAGGCTGGTCTCTGATGGTGCCTCTAGACAATAGACTGACAGACCAGTCACTGATGGGCCCTCTAGACAATAGACTGACAGACCTCTGACGAGGTGTTTTAGGCTGCTGCCCATGATGATCTCATGTGATCAAGCTGATAAGCCAGATAGCCAGGCAGACAGCCAGGCCGACAGCCAGGCCGACAGACAGGCAGGCACTGGCACATCCCGTACTGCGGAGAGAGACCCTGGGGCATGGGGAGGCGGTCACGCCCGTCCTGTAAATCAATTAGCGCCGTAACGAGCGGAAATCCCAGCATCTTGGGAGACAGGACAGACACAGAGGTCCGGAGGGACAGAGGGAAACCGTGACATGCACACATACAGTCACACACACCCACATATGTATGCATGTATCTGCCTACAGCAAGTGTACCCTCATGCACATACAATCATACGCATGCATTCAAGCGCATACATGCATCCACAAACACTCACACAAGCACACACTGTAGACACACAACACGTGCATACATGCACAACGATATAAGACAAAGATCCCCCGTATTGCCTGAACATACTTTTGGAGGCAAGTGCTGTTAGTGAGCACCTATGAAGGCTGCCGCCGGTACACTGAGGGGTTGTGTGGCCAGCAACACGCTTATCCGCCTTTGTCTCCCCTAGTGGCGATGTTTACACACCGCACCAGGTCCTCATCTGAGGCTTAGTGGGACTGGGAGAGAGGCCCAGAATGGGACGCTATGTCACTCACTGTTGATGTCAACCGTGGATGGGAATCGAACTCGGGATATTGGGTTAGAGTGCAGTGAGCCCCTCACACGTCCAACCACACGTCCTTGTCGTGGTGAGGGGGGGGAGGTGATGCCTAAGTAAGAGATTGTTTGACAGGGTGAAGTATGGTGGGGTTTACCCTATCTATTTTGAACCTTCAAGTGGATAGGCAAACGAGGCTCCGGTGAAGACGGTGAAGCAGTTGGAAAAGGATCTTTGGATCTCAACGGCTGTGAACGCGGAGGAAGGCTGCAACAAGCAAGTTGGAGATCTGTGGATGTCTCAGACTCTCCCTGCCACTGGGCTCGAGGCCTACTGCCCGTCAAGACCGCGTGGGGCCACTGGAGGTGGCACGCCAGCCAGCATCCCCACGTGAGAGAAAGAAACGGTGCGCCGGCTTCTACCGCGGGACCACCACAAACTTTCCAACCTTGCAAGCCCCGCAGCAATGGACAATCGGTGACGGGGACAGCACCGGTGAAATGCGGCAGTTTCTAGCCACGGATCTGCACGGAGGCGGCGGTAGTTGGACGGTGTCTCCGTGCACCTGGACCGAGACGAGGGTGCAACTTGGCAGCTGCTATCACGGCCGTGCAGTCCTCTTTCGGATGCCCTCTGCTCACCCCGCATGGCGAGGGGAGGGGGCGAGAAGAGTGTGCCCTGACCCTAGGCCTTCTCGCCCACTCCTGGCCGCATTACCGCCGAGATCACTCTCTCGGTGGTCGAAGCCACAAGAAGGCCGGTGGCTTTTGCTACGTGAAATGTTCGCACTCCGATGGATAACGAAGATAATGCATGACCAGAAAGAAGGAATGCTTGTCGTCGCCAGGGAACGTGTAACATCGACGTCGCTGCCTTGAGTGACCAAGATCCAGGTCTAGAATGCAGTCACCAGCTCATCAAATCCTCGATGAAACTTGGGTGACCTACCGACACCTCGAGGGTCTAGAGAGGTTACCGCCAGCAACGACGCCTCCGGGAGATCCTTCGCGTCGAGCGGGAGGATCGCTCCACGAACGCCAGCGGCCTCGCTGGAGGCAGCGTCGCCACCGTTGAGGCGACGACCCTCGTCACACCACACTGCGTGCGGATGATGCCAGATTCTGGTCTCACCGAACAAGCACTCGCTACTCCCAGCTCACCCACGGTCAGAGGTCAGGTGGTGGTTGGTGGTGGTGGCCAGAGGAGAGGCTACAGAAACACGGCAGGGAGCGTGTCTCAAGAAAACCGGCGTGGGTGATAACAGGCTGGGAGGAGCGGGCCATCAAACCTGACCTCAATGGCGCCATGTCCTCCCATCAGGCCGTGAGCCGCTTCGACGTAGGGTTGCCATCTCTTACTGAAGCTATTCAGCGAGATGTTTTGTTTTAGTTATTGATATATATTTTGCCTAAAATATACTACCATTAAAATATCCTGGGATTGCATTCGTTAGTCACCGGGAGAACCATGGCGATTCCGGTAGACGCCCCGGGACAATCCGGGACGGTTGGGAAACCCAACTTGAAGGAGCAGCGCTTTGCCCTCGAAGCTGAACGGAGAGAAGGGGCAGAGAAGGAAGAGGGATGGAAGGAGAGGGACAGAACCCCCTGCCAGCTGCAGGAAGCTGACCCGCGAGGCAATGTCTGCAGCTTCTGCGCGCGGGTTCCTGGTTCCACGACCGCACTCCTTGAGTCGTCTCATAATCCAAATGTGAATCTGTGGCCGAGATCGTCCCTCGAATCGGCGACGATGCATAAACTCGCGCAGCGTTACGGACACACACACGCACACCGCACTGTCCTGGAGTACCGCTTCAGACGTAAAATAAACACGTTCTTCTTTTTCCACCGAGATTTTTTAC